ACCCTTATACTGCCCTTTAAAATTTGCAAAGCACTTTTGCATACAAAAACTTATTGGTCACTATCAGAATGGGCGATCAAGAAAGGCTTCATGTAGAAAGTGTTTTAAGTTGAGCCGTAGAGAAAATTAAGGATTTATAAAGGTGACAAGGGAGTGTGGGGAGGGAGAATTAAAAGTTTAGATAAGAAAGATCTCTTCCCTCAAAGGCATACAATCCAACTTCTTGATAGGAAAGATGGCTAGATAGGCTGTCCAGAGGGTCTAGGTTAAAATTCTCCTCTGGCCACAAATTCTTTATGTGACCTAGGTGAGTAACTCAACATAGATGAAACTAGTTAGCCTCAAAAATACATTTTTAAAGTGCTGAGCTATCTTAGTACAGTGCCCCGGGAAGCACACAAACACTAGAGCCAAATGTCAAAAGCGTCTCGGCTCTGCCGAATAATTACAATAGCAGGAGCTAAGGGAATCCCACTTCACACCCAGCTACCAGACTCTTTCTGGCCACGCCCTGTTGCGCGGAAATCGGGCGCTAAACCCCAACCAATGAGGCTACGCGGTTGAGACCAGCAGCCAATGAAGAACGAAATTATGTTCTAGGAAGTGAATACCTCCGCAGGGAAGGAAGCGAAAAGCAAGAGACCTCATCACGAAGTTAAAAGGCTTCGGCAAACAAGGGAAAATCAAGGGTCACATGCTCTGGGAACTGAGTAAAGCAACTAATCAGAGGGCGACTTCCTTGGACACGTGCCGAGGGTTGGGGCGAAACCAAGCGAACACCTCCCCCTGGCCCGGCGGTAGCGTGATGGCCGGTGGTACCAATGGCCAGATGGTTCTCTAGTCACGTGAAACTTCCGCAGGGCTTTCCAGATCACGTGGTAGCAGCTGTCAGCGAACTGACACCAATGAGCGGGGACAGTGGCTGTCATGGGATGAGGGAAAAGATCCGTCTGTACCAATGAAATCCTGGTGAACTTGCTGATTTCACCATCACGTGCAGCGGCGGGACGGAAAGGGGCGTCCACCCGGGAGGGAAACGGGGTGGGGGCTTAAGGGCTGGGCGCGTGGGACGCAGGCGCTTTGGGGACCCGGTGGTGACGACGGCGGCGACACCGGCGGAGGGAGCCGGCTCCCGAACCGGAGCGGGTGGCGGCGGCGGCCATGGCGGCGGACGGAGAGCGCTCCCCGCTGCTCTCCGAGCCCAACGACAGCAGCGCCAGCGGCAACGGGCTGGTGGGGCCCGGCGGGGGCGGGGCCGGAGCCGGGGGAGGCCTGGTTCCCTCCGCGCCGCCGTACGGATCCGGGAAACATGCCCCGCCTCAGGGTGAGCCTGGGCCCCCGCTCTCAGATTTGGACCGTGGACCGGGGACTAGCGGGGGCGGGGCCAGGACCGAAGGTGCGGGGCTGTGACCCTCCCGTCGGACCTGTGGGAAAGGAAAGGGGGTGGGGCTCGCTGTTTTAGTCAGAGGCGGAGCCTTGGGCAGAGATGGGCGGGTTCTTTGGAATGAGGGCAACGACTGGTGCCGGAGGGAGGTTGAGGGTTACTCTGGTCAGGGTAAATAGGGCAGGACATGTGGGGTGACATGTGGATGATCATGGGTGACCCACTCTGACTGTACTTCCACAGCATTCCCTCCATTCCAGGAGGGTCACCCGGCTGTGTTGCCCGGGGAGGACCCACCACCATACTCCCCCCTGACCAGTCCAGACAGTGGCAGTGCCCCTGTGATCACATGCCGCGTCTGCAATTCTCCTATCAGTGTGGAAGGCAAGATGCATCAACATGTTGTTAAGTGTGGTGACTGCAACGAAGCTACAGTGAGTTTCATTATCCAGGATTTTTTAGTTGTCCAGCTGTAGAGCCCGAAATTTTTTCTGATTCTTGTATATAAATCCCAGGAATTACACAAGTCCAGACATCTGTCCTTCCTCTCTCCCCTCCCAACACCACCCAGAGTAAGTCCCACGATTGTTCTACTTCGTATCCATCCCAGGTTTCCCCTTGGTTTCTGCATCTAAGTTCTATCTAAGTTCATCTCTGCTTCCCATGGTTCTTTTACGTTCTCCCCAGTGTACCTTCTTTTCTTTCTAATCAGGATCCTTACCAGCTTCCTGGATTATTGCTCTTGGGCCCTCCTCAAAAGGTATGTTTGGGAGGGATTGAATTCAGGGCTTTTGGTGCTCACCTCCCTGTTATTCCTTAGCCAATCAAGAATGCTCCGCCTGGGAAGAAGTATGTTCGATGCCCCTGTAACTGTCTCCTCATCTGCAAAGTGACTTCCCAGCGGATTGCCTGCCCTCGGCCTACCTGGTGAGAGCAGAGGACTAGGAAAGCCATATGAGGAGGGATGGAAACTAAAGAAGTTGTAGGGAATTTAAGAGTGAAGGAATATATGGGGATAGAAGGAGACTGGGGAAGGGCTTGCTGGTAGAACTACAAAATTCTGCAAGAGGAAGTTCAGAATGTGGACAATGAAGAACTCTTCCTCCAGGATGATTCTAGTTTACCTAACCAGCCAGCTTCCTTGAATGCTTAAATAAAAGGTTTGGGTGCAAGATGAAGTCTTCTGATCTAATGGTATATGTAAGAGTATAGATTTGGTGATCTGAGGTCTAGGCCATTTTGTTTTTTTTTTTAATCAAGGTGTATAAGTTAAGGATAGGGAGGCAGAGGATCTTGTGTGGAGGAGGAAGCATGTAGACACTGTCCAGGTGATCTTTGAAGAGGGAAGGGAACAGTTCTTGAGATTTGAAGGGTCCTAAGGTATCCTTCTTTCCTCCCCCCACCAATAGTAAAAGAATCATCAACCTGGGTCCAGTACACCCTGGGCCTCTGAGTCCAGAACCACAGCCCGTAGGTGTCAGCGTCAACTGTGGCCATTGCAAGAATACCTTTCTGGTGAGGAGGGATGGGACAGGCTGGGAAAGGGCTAGTAGACATTTATGTGGGTAACGTGAATGTGTACATGGTGGGAAAGGTCAGTTATTGAAATCACCACCTTTGGCCTTTTTTGTCCTTTACCCTATTCAATCCTTGTGTTTTTCCATGGGGATCCCTCAAAAAATTAACCTTAAAGAGCTTTTTTATTTGTGCCTTTACCACAAATTGACCCCTTGTCCTGTTTTCTCTATAGTGGACAGAGTTTACAGGTCGAACCTTGGCACGTTGCCCCCACTGCAAGAAAGTGTGAGTGATTTGGAATTGATATTATAAACTTAGTTATCAGAAGGAGGAGGTGGGGGATGGGGGACTGTATAAGGATTACAAACTCATGAAAGCCTTGCTTATCCCTTCATAGCTCATCTATTGGGCGAAGATATCCCAGGAAAAGGTGCATTTGCTGTTTCCTACTTGGGCTACTATTGGCTGTTACTGCTACGGGCTTAGCAGTGAGTAACCAGCTCTTATCTTCTCTGACCCTTCACTTTTCATCTTCCTGTTTTATACTTTCCAAGTTTACCACTAGAATCAGATTTCATAAGAGTAGTTAAAAAACAAAACAAAACCAAAAACCTGGAGTTTATCTGACCCCAAAAAGGCTAATAGATGAATAGTCTTCAGGATTGAATGGTTAAAAGGTTTTCTCTCCACAGAAGAGGACAAATGAAATGGCAAGTGATAGGAACAACTTTCAAATTGCAAGCTGATGTAACTTTGTCTTTTTTTTGAGGCAGTCTGGGTTAAGTGACTTGCCCAGGGTCACACAGCTACTAAGTCTCTTGAGGCTGGGATTTGAAGTCAGGTCCTCCTGACTCATTACTCTATCCACTGTAACACCTAGCTGCCATGTATAACTTTGTTTTAATTAAGATTGGGAACTTCCCTTTTCCAGAGATTTTAAAGTGGAGAGCTACATGCCCAGTGGGTAATAACTATTTCCATGGGGTAGATCGGGGTTCAATATCCCTAAAGAGTATTGTCTCATTTCTGCTATAATTGCCTGTAGATTGGGGGGGCCCATCATAACTGAAGCTAGCTTGGATCCAGTGTTTTATCAGGTGGTAGACTGACAGATTGGCACTGTGGCACTGATTCTTTTTCTTCTTTCTTCCATATTCCTCTCCTAGTTTGGCACATGGAAGCATGCCCGACAGTATGGGGGTATCTATGCAGCTTGGGCATTTGTCATCCTGCTGGCTGTGCTCTGTCTAGGCCGGGCTCTCTACTGGGCCTGTATGAAGGTCAGCCACCCTGTCCAGAACTATTCTTGAGCCCCAAGATGACCCACTACCTGTGCCTGGCCCCTCTCAAGCAGGGACAGTGACACTACAGAGGGGAATGGGAATGTCCCCTCGGCTTCCATAAGAGGAGCCAGGCTGTTGCCTTCCTCTTCTATAGGGGAAAGAAATGGGAAGGATCTGGGCCCTCAAAGACAAACAAGATTGGAAGGGTGGGTGGGCCACTGCTGGCTGTTTGGTCCCTTCTGAGGGCTGCCTGTGCTGCTTGGGGTGGAATGGGAGATAAAGTATCCTGACCCCAAGTTCTGGAAAATGGTTATAGCTCTTTCCTTCCTCCATCCTCTCCTAAGGGGCCATTCCTGTCCCTCAAACATTCCAGGGCAGGGTAGGGGTAGGCAGCCCTGGGAGTTTTCCTCCCTTTTGCACCCCCAGGACCTTGCTGCTGCTATTGCACTTCACCAGGGGGTAACTCTAATTTGGCTGCCCTCTTGGCCTCCTCTCCCCACCCCTTTTCATGCCCTGTGGGGGTGGGGTCAGCCGCTGCTCTGTACAGTACTATGGGAACTGATGTGTATATAGCTATTTAATGTGGGGTATGTTCCCCAACCTGTGTTCCCTCTCCCCAAGTCCTTCCTCTCCTGCCGGTTGTGGCCGGTTTGTCTGTCTTTGGGGATCAGGGGCTCATCCTGTGCTTGTAAATAAATGAAGTTGTGACTCTACCTTATCCCTTGTGTCACCTTTTTTTGAGTCAGGGAAGAGAAGAGATTCCAGCCCTTTCCTATGATCCTTTCCAAGGGGAACAGGACATAAAACAAGAAGACTTGACCTCTATGGTTCTTTATTCTCAAATAGATATTTCAAAAGTAGTCAACAATAGCATTCTTAAAATTGAAGAAATAGTTCTGGATTTCTGGTTGCCGAAGAACCAGTTTAAACTGTAGAAGAATTACAGTGCCAGCAATAGAGTGATAGGACAATGGTCACTACCTACGGCTTTGGACCGAATCTTACTATCACATAGGGCAGGGAGCAAGGACTGGGACAACAAGAAATAGTCAAGCCGCCAGCCAACATTCTTGGCTCGGGCATTCATCATGTAGGTCCAAAAAGTATAAGCATAAGCTGCCTCTGGATAGAGGTGGCGGAAACTGTCGGTCAGTGGCACTGCCTGGAGCAGCTCCCCAAACCCTTGGCGTTCCTGTGGAGTAAACCCAGCATTTTTCTTGTTCCCCTTGGGATTGCGCAGGTCAATCTCTTCATGGGCCACATTGAGGTCCCCACAGAGCACAAGAGGCTTTTTGGCATTTAGTCCCTTCAAAAATTTGCGAAATGCTTCATCCCATTTTTGTCGATATTCCAGTCGAACCAGCCCCCGTCCTGCATTAGGCACATATGCTGTCACCAGCACAAACGCCTCAAACTCAGCCACTATGACCCGGCCCTCCTGATCATGCTCTTCTTCACCTATGGAATGGATACAACAAACACAGAGATCAAGCATGAGAAAGTGGAAATGAGGTTAGAGAATGTTTGAAACACTTCCACTCTTAGGAACAGTAGGGGCTAAGGGCAGCAAGCTATGTCTCACCAATGCCAAAGGTGACGTTGAGTGGGCACTGTCGGGAAAGGAGACCAACACCACTGTATCCTTCTTTATCACTGGGTGAGGACCAGTACTGGTAGGTAAGTCCAGGCAGGTCCTGAAGCTCAGGTGGCAACTTGCTCTCTGAACATTTGGTTTCTTGAAGGCAAAGTATGTCAGGGGCTTCTTCCTTTACCCACTGTCCATGTACAAAGGAAGGCAGGTTACAACGACTTGCTTATCCCAGACCATCACCCTCTGCCTCCTCCCCAACTCATCTCATCCTAAAGCCTATTCTCCCAAAATAAGATACTGGCATTTTAAGGGGAAAATCTTTAAAGCAGATACATTAACAGGAATAGACTCCCAAAAGCAAGTTAGTAATTTTGAGTCACTTTCCCTTCCCTGAGAGCCATACTCACATCCAGACCCTTTTTCTTGATCCAGGCCCTGAGCCCATCCACATTCCAGGAGCATATCTTGAGTGTAAAACGCTTGCCACTAGGTGAGGTTTGCTGGTCTGGGGGGTCCTCATACGTGGCAGATCCTTCCCCTGCTGCCTCCTTTTCTTTTACACCCTTCTTAGTCTTCTTAGGCTCAGGCTCTGTTAAAAGTTTTGTTGGGAAAGGAAAGAGATTTCTCAAGGGTGACAGCAGCTATTTCTACCTCAGGTGGCCCATGATAACCAGCTGACCAAGAGGTCCACCCAATGGAAACCTACTCTGCCATTTTCCCATTTTATGGAGATCTTCATAAACCCTTATAATGTGTACTTTTGTCTCCCATCACCTGGGGAGAATAAAAAAATCAAGGTCCACGTGTTACCTTTAGTCTCTGGCTCCTCACTGATCCCATCCTTCACAGATACTTCCTTCTTCCCCCGCTTTGGCATCCTTCTCGCCCAGAACAACGCCTCGCGGCCCAGGCCCCCTACAGCCCAACGCAGCAGAATCCTGGTTCTGTGGACACCGCTGCGGACACAGCGAATTGAACAGAGTTAAGGGCACCGATGCTGAAGTTTGGATGGAGGACGCGGGAGGGGCCCCTTTGGACTCCCTCCTGACAAGACTTTGAAATCCCTTCCTCCCCTCCGGTTTCCCTTCCTCCTTCCCAAAACATCCCAGGATTCTCAGCCCCTGCTACTCCCTGAATCCCCAGGCCCCAGCCTATCAGCTTTATATTGAAAACCTCTTGGGACCGCCTCCTGGACCGGCGGACACTACTCGCCTCCTGCTGCTGTTAAAGTACCGTCTAAAGCCAGGACCGCCGGGGGAATCTACCCCGAAGGCCACTCTGCTTTGAAGATAGAAGCTCCTTCCTACCCCGAACACAAAGAACACAACGCGCGATTTCCCCACGTGGGTTAGTTGGCCCTGATCACGTGGTCTTGTATCGCGGGCTTCGGGGAAGAGGAAATGGCAGGGATTGGCTGAGTCGAAACGCGGTGAGCCCGCCCCTCCATGTGACTCAAATGCGTATCTCCGGGAGGTCTTGTCCGTCGGGGCTGTCTATCCTTATGCCTTACATAAGGCTCCACCCTCCAAGCTGCGATAAGGGCCGTCGAATGAAGAGAAGGGCAAGAAGAGTCTGGGATTACCTAGAGGAGACTCATTGGCTTGGTGATGAGACAGAGAGGAAAAGATGCCGAGTCACCCTCCTCGGCAGTAGCTAGGGCAGACCCTACTTGGCTCAAGTTGGAGGTGGGGATGGGGGGAGGGCCTTTTGGTCCCGTCGCCATAGCGACGAGGGCGGGGGCAAGGGAACTCTGCCGTTAGTGGCTGGGGCTGCGGCGCCTACAGCTTTTGTGGTGTTCCGGTCGGTCCCTGCCGCGTTCTGTGACCTCTCTTCTGGCTGTAGCAGCGTCGGCGGGGGCGGGATAAGGGCGGAGCTCCATGGACCGCCGGGACCTCTGACCTCACAACCCCAACCATGCCCACGGTGCTTGGTTTCGAGGGTAGCGCCAACAAAATCGGCGTGGGCATCGTGAGAGATGGAGAGGTGCTGGCAAACCCTCGGCGGACCTACCTTACCCCTCCGGGCACGGGTCAGTGAGTCTGGGGGTTGGGGTGGGAGGAGCTTTGCCATCCCTGCCTCCTCTCAGGCCCTGCTGGAAAAGAAATACGAATCACAGTTAGGTGATAACAGATGGATATTAGTGTTTGTTTGGTGATAGCTTCCCTGAGAGGTGGGGAACCCAGCCCTGAACGTCCCCATTTTACAGATAAAGATGTTGAGGTTCACAGAGGTGAGAGAATTTCCCTGCACAGCAATCAAAGCAATAGCTCTTTGAAAGTTAGCAAAATACTTCACATCTGTTTTCTCCTTTGAATCTCTCCATAGTTCCAAGACGTGGATAATTGTAATCAGAGTTATTGTTCCCAAGTTAGAGTTGTGGAAGCTGAAGCTCAGAGGGGGTTGTGACTTACCCGTGCTCACAAGCTGAGTGTCAGAGCTGGGATTAGAACAGGTCTAGCACTCTGTCCCCCAAGCTGAAGGGAATTGGATTTGGAGGCAGAGAGCAGGGGTCTGTTCAACTGATCATGGGCAAGACACAACCCCAGTGGGCCCCAGCTTCCTCAGTTTTAGCAAGACAAGGTTGGACTGGACGGCTTCCATCTAAATCTGTGATCCAGTGCAGGTCTTTCTGACATCTGATGTTCTTCCTACTGTAGCTAGAACCAGAGTGTCACTCCGAGTAGTAGTATTTACTTTTAGTCCCATAAATGGTGAATTTCTGGGAAATTTTTCTAAAAGAAGGCATGTGGCATCTGACTCATGTATCCAACCCTCTGCCAGGGTTCCTTCCAGGAGACACTGCCAGGCACCACCGAGCTTGTGTACTGGACCTGCTGCATGAAGCCCTGACTGAAGCTGGACTCGACCCTAAGGACATTGATTGTATCGCCTTTACCAAGGGTACGGGTGGAAAAGTGGCCTTCAGGTTGAGAATGGGCTGAGACTTGTCTAGTTTCAAATGCCCTATCTTTGTGGGCTGGTAATCTGCTAATCACTCTTTTTCCTTCACTTCAGGCCCTGGAATGGGTGCCCCACTAGTCTCAGTGGCTGTTGTTGCCCGAACTGTGGCACAGTTGTGGAATAAGCCATTGGTGGCTGTGAATCATTGTGTGGGCCATATTGAGATGGGCCGCCTCATCACTGGAGCCATTAGCCCAACTGTACTTTATGTTAGCGGTGGAAATACTCAGGTACTGGGAAAACATCACTTACCCCTCCTTGTAAGACTCAAGGCATTTTGATTTTAAAATGAGTAGCAAGAGCAGAGTTGTTCAAAACCGTGATGTATCATACCGGTAAGGTCACATCAGCAATCTTTTTAAGATACAGCCCGGTACTAAAAAAGGTTCTAGGAAGTTCTGTTTTAAATGATCAACAGAATAAGGTGGCACTCAAGTAAATTATAAAGTTTAGAAGTTTTTCGTCTAGAAAGGTGAAGGCTGAAAAAGATTAGGATCAAAGTCTGAAGGATTTGGGTAAGGGAAACATGAGTTTGTTTACCAAATCTCGGAAAACTAGAGCTAAGGATATTCATGAAAGCTGCCGCAGAGCAGGATAGAAAGTACAACAGTATCAGTACTCTTGTGAAAATTGGACCTAATGGTTTTTCTTCCATTTTACCATCTTTTGTTGTAGCTTCCTGAAGGTGGCTAGTGAACAAGCATTGATTCAGACACTTAATAGGGACTTAATGTTTATGAGTTACTATCCTATGTATTTATCAAAATGTTGAGTTTAGGTATATCAATATCTTTCCCCTTTGTGGATCTCATAGTTTAATGCAGAGGTTCTTAACTTGGGATTCTTGATTTTTTAAGTATTTTGATAGTTGTACTTCAGCATTATTTGTTTCTTTAATAATTCTGAGTATTTCATTTTACATATTTAAAAGCATTATTGTGAAAAAGGAGGTCTGTGACACCAAAAAGGTTAAGAAACCTTGGTATAATGGGACTTAGATACAAATACAATTACAATATGCGTAATTGCAAAACATAGTGATACATAAAGTCTGAGAAGGAATCAGGTCCCAGAGTGAAGTTGAAAGAGTGATAGCAGGGGTCTTACTGCAGCTGAATAGGTTTTCCCTTTCTGTACCTTATTTCTTGCCACTAGCCCTGTGCTGTTGACTGGCACTGGGAGGAGGAGAAAAACCTGGAACCAAGATTTGGGGTAGAAACAGCAGGTTTTACCATCCATGAATAAGGCAGAACTTGTAGCCACAATGGGAGGGCCCCTGCAGGAGTTCAGGGGAAGGAACATTCCTCATCTGTACCTCACTGGGATAACTATTCATGTATAAGAGTTCTTTATTAGCTATCAGGAGTTCATAAATAGGAAGACTATCTACTGACTGGGTTAAAAAATGAGTGTAAATCAGCGAAATACTCCCTGTTGTCCAGATTGCTCAGTCCATGGCTTATACTTAAACTACCCCTAGCCTTTTGAATGACTTCTGCAGGACCCTTTCTTCCTACTTTCTTATAGGATACCCTCTTTTATAGCTCAGACTGACAGGACCGTGTCTTCAAAGGATATATGCCCAAAGAATGTGTAGGAATTTCACAGGCTAGATAAATATCAACGAACTAGATATCTGTTTTCAGCTCTCTTATGGACTGGCAAAATCTGCTCTTGACTTCCCTAGGCTATTTCCTATAGTAGGAATACAGAGAATAATTCATTCAAAAACTACAGAAGCTATCTCTTCCCCATTTTTTTTAAAGAAGTCTTAGTTACTATATTGATTGATTGTAATGTCATCCTCAGACTCAGAGTTTCATGGACACCCCTACCTCCTTTAGGTGATTTCATACTCAGAGCATCGATACCGAATCTTTGGGGAAACCATCGACATCGCTGTTGGTAATTGTCTGGATCGATTTGCCAGAGTTCTAAAGGTGAGAGGAGGAGACTTGGGTGCCTAAGGGAAACATAATATGTAATGGGGCCCACTAGGCCCCATTGAGGGGAATAAGGGGAGGACATAGGGTTCTAAGCAGTCAAACTGACTTTACAGTGGGAAGATCACAATAGTGAAATATTGAGCAATCTAGGCCTGCCCTTTGTTCCCTGTACATCTAGCTTAACCCCCTCCCACCTCACTGCTTTCCTGTTTCCTCCCCTACCAGATCTCCAATGATCCCAGCCCTGGCTACAACATTGAGCAGATGGCAAAGCGGTGAGGGGGGTATGGGGTGGGAAGAATATTAAGGGTTATGGGGGAGGCCAGAAAAGGGAGACTGGCAAGACTTCAGGGCCTTCCCTACACATATGAATGTATTTGGGCAGAGTGAGAAACCTTCTCATTCCCTCAGCCTGATGCCTTACGTACTCTTCGATACAGAGGCCAAAAGCTAGTGGAGTTACCATACACTGTGAAGGGGATGGATGTCTCATTCTCAGGGATCCTGTCTTATATTGAGGTGAGTATGAGAGATGAGGATCTGGATCATCCCTCCAATACACCAGGTCACACTGGAAGGGCATTGTGGGGTATGGATCCTAGGAGTATAGGCTTCTAAACCTCATCCTAAAGACAGCCTGAGTTTTAGGAAAATAGGTATTAATTCTCTTTGTTCAGACCACAGACTAATTTCTATCCTTATTACATACCACATGCTACCTTTAGATTTGTCTCCTTACCTAGGAAGCAGCTCATCGAATGCTGGCTGCAAATGAATGTACCCCTGAAGATCTGTGTTTCTCTCTCCAGGTACTTAAGGGGAAAGGGCTGTGATAGAATATTGAGGCTCAGGCAGCCTTGTGAGTAGGATGGGAATGAGCTGGAATGATTCTTACATGTTCCTTTTGTTCCCCTCCCTGATCCCAATCCAGGAAACAGTGTTTGCAATGCTGGTGGAAATCACAGAGCGGGCCATGGCACACTGTGGCTCCCAAGAGGTCCTCATCGTGGGAGGTGTAGGGTGTACGTATCATTGTTTGTCTCTCACACACATACCTGTACGTATATAGATACACACATACATGCACATATGTATACATATATATACATGCATCCATATATATTTTCTTCATATTCCAATATAGTATTTTCTGCCAAGAATTCCAGAGTTCCTTCAGTCTTGTAGGAGGGAGGGTGAGACCTTCCAGCCTCCCCACCCCGCTCCCTATTCCTCTGAATTGGCCCTATAAGAAGGATGTAGCTGGGATTTGTTGATTGGCTGGTGACTTAAGTTAGAGAAACAAGTGGAATGAAACTAACCTGACTTCCATCACTAACTCAGGTAATATGAGGCTACAGGAGATGATGAGGACAATGTGTGAAGAACGTGGTGCCCAGCTCTTTGCCACTGATGAAAGGTGAGAGTGCTTCCTCCTTTTTCTTTCCTGTCCATTTCCTCTCTTCTCCAAGAGTCACTTATTCTGGCTGATGGATTGTGGGACTGATATCCCTTTCCTCGATTCCCAAGGGCTCATGCATGTCCCCTTTTTACCCGCAGATTTTGCATTGACAATGGAGCTATGATTGCTCAGGCTGGTTGGGAAATGTTCCAGTCCGGACATAAAACATCACTCAGCGATTCCGGGGTCACTCAGAGGTGAGGTACTCCTCCTCTTCCAGTATACAAATGTCTTGGAGAGAGTTGCATATCCTTTGACGAGAGGAGAAGGGGGTTACCATTTGTATACATTGTCAGACATGGGGTTTTTACTGGGTGTTTTTGCCTAATTCTTTCTCTTTGTTACAAAGAGAGGTTTCAGGTTAGAGGTCGTGGTTGGGAAACGATCATGATGTTTTTAAAAAATAAAGCGGGAGGGGGCAGTGTCAGAATTTTGCGTCTGGGAGAAAAAGGAGAAGAGTGCTGAAGAGACTGACTCTCAATCAGTGTATCTGTTCTTTCATCTACTATCTCCCTCCATAGGTACCGTACTGATGAAGTAGAAGTGACTTGGAGGAACTGACCTACTGAGGAGAGGGTCACATAGTGTCGACACCAAGGAAAACACGATTGTGTGGAACCTTCTTGTTTTCTGGTCACATGATGGATTTCAGAGTAGTTTCCCCGTTACCTCTTCTAGAGAGCTGAGCTCCATCATGATGAAGCAATCAAGCACCTTTGTTTTTGTGTGTCTGTCACTAACATGAATTTCTCAGAACCCATGTGAATCGCCTTGTGCGAGGTATATAGAGGTACACTAAATAAATGCTTGTTGATTTGACAAGCTGACTAAATAAAAGTGTCATTGACCAGAAAAGGTGATGGCCAACTTCTTCAGGACAAGAAAGGAAATGTATTGAAAATACACAAAAAGGTCGTATGATATCAGAAATTTGGCAACAGAAATAGTTGGATAAAGCTGAGAACTGGGGGAGGTTGAACTGCCTTTCCTGGATTATTTCTGAAGACATTTGTTCATTGAAATCCTATTTGGGAGGAGCAGGGAGCTGGCTGTATAAATGGGGAGCAAAGAAGTCATCATTGCATATTAGCCCTAGATGTTTAGTTGAAAAAAATTTTCTTAATAGTTTTGAGGTGGTGGAGATCTGGGAGAGGGAACCCCTCTTTGAAGTTGTATACTCTGTAGTGGGATTGGAAGGGGAACTGAGACCTTGCCTGAGGCTCTCCTGAGGAAATTCTAAAGTCCTCCTGGAGCTAGGACTCTGGTTCCCTGGGTCTTCTCTTCCTTCCTTTGTCTGGGGCTATCACTGGCAATACAAAGTGTGTCCTGTTGGTTTCCATGGATAAAGTCAATGGGGGCAGTCAAGCCTCAAGACAGTATCTCCAACCATGCTATGTACAAGGCTCCAGAACAGACTGATCTTGGGGCCACAGGCAGAGGCTCCTATTGTTAACATGTGGTGTCAAAAAGTAAGAAAACACTTTAGGTTTCTCTGGTTATTAGGGATTCCCCATCCTAGTACCTGGGATCTATTTCCTTTACCATTTGTGGTCTTCCTAGACTCACATAATGATAAGGGCAGCCTCTTAGCAATATTCATTGCTGCAAGCCTTCGTGGAGACACATCTGATGTTCAGACTGTAGGGAGGGGAGGGGCAAATGCGTCAGAGATGAGCTAGTCATTGTGACAAACTGATCATTCAGAGACCTAAATATCTTCCTTTGATTAGCCTACAACTCTTGCTCAGAGATGTTCCCTAGAGGAGCAGAGGCAATTGGGGAGATTGAGTCCAGTTTTCTCTCCAGTGGTAACTCCTATAGCTGATGTGAGGCCACCACATCTTCAAATGTCTTTAAACTGCAGACATGGGAAGAAAGCTTAGGTTTAGCCCAAAGCAAAGATAGTCCTTGCCATCCCACAGAATTCCCAGGTTCAAAGACCACGGAGCATCTGTGTTTTCTTGGTTCTCTGCTCTGTTTCACTGGATTTTGTACTTCTACCACTTTGGTCAAGTCAGCCCTAGCCCTTCCATTGAATGCCAGAGTCACTCCATTTCCCCCTGGTTAGTCCCTAGTGCTACAGTTATTTTTTTTTTAAGCCCTATTTCAGCATCATCTCACCCTCCATCTTCCTATTCAGCCTCTCTGGTTAAATTGTAGGTCATCAGATCATAGCACCTTAAACCTCTCAGCTGTGTGAGAGAAGGTAAGACAAGAAAGAACACAGTAGAGTAGTTGGGGGTGGTCTTGACCTTTTCTCCTTCAGTTTTCCTGTGAGTTCAAGAGGCACTTCCACCTGGAAACCTAGATGGAATTGTCTGAGGACAGAGTGGATCCTAGCAGAAAAAGAGACAATGGAGAGTATGTTGGGTGTACAGCTTTAACTCCCTACCATTCCTCTTGTCACTTCCAGTCACACAGTGAGGACGAACTAGCCCTTGACCTTGAACGTGGCTTCATGTCCCCCTTGTGCCTTGCTTACCCTGCTCTTGTCCTCTAGGCATACAGGAGGGCTGCTCACAAAAACTCAAATGTCATCTGGCCCATTTCTTCTGTCGAGTCAGCAGATAGGGGATCAGTACTGTCAACCCTGTAAAGCAGGAGAGAAGAGATGGACAGCCCCTCTTCTCCATACCACATCCTCCCAACTCCAATATTACAGAACAGAAATGGGGGAAATGGGATAAGAGATAAAATGTGACAGGCTCCGAGATAGAGGATGAATGGGCCCATAAGAGGGGAGATTGGCATGAGGAGCAGCATAAGAGATGAGACTAGCTTTGGTTTCTCCTGTGATTGGGAATCCAGCAAAGCCCCTAGATCTAGTTGTCTTTGAAGTTTAAGGGGTGGGCTCATACAGTGAAAAGCTGTTAATTCTGTACTTCCTTTCGACTACATCATTCTGAGAATTGTCCCCCACCTGGGAAAGGTAGGAATATGGGGATCCCTACCTCCATCATCACTCAGCCAGTATATATCCATTGCCTGCTTCAGGGCTGCTGGTCTGGTGGTGCACCTGAGAGGGGGCAGGTGGGGAGAAACTGAGACTACCCCCTGTCCCCAGCTGGTCAGTTGCCCCCAACCCAGTCCCATAGATTTCCCATTCTCCCAAGAGAATTCTGGGAAAGATAACCATGTACTTTCCATCCTAGTGGATTACTGAGTCACAGCTACATTTTTTTCCCTTCTGTGACCCTGGCATCCCATTCTTGTGTAGTTGCCCTTTTCCCTACCCACTGCTGTTCCCTCTGCCTCATTACCTGCTCTGGATTTGGCAATCTCCACCCCTTTCTCCAAGGCATCCATTCCTTCAGAGTCCAAAAACACTGAATTCACCGGTGGAAGGGCATGTAGAAGAGCAGAAGAACAAGTTGTCGTGATGTCACCTCCCTAAACTCCTTTTTCTTCCCCACCTCTACCCTCACCCAGATCTCTACCTTCTGAATAACCAGGTGCCCTAAAATGAAAGAAGAGTCCTGTGTACTGTTTGGGTGGCTCCAAGTATGACAGTAGGATTTGGAAGGACCTTAAGGCAAATTCAGAGACTCTGCTCCTCCTGACCATACCAAGCCTTAAACTGACCCCAAATTGTGTTCAGTCACTTAACCCAAATCTCTCCTACTTCTCCAAAAATTTTCCTTTCCTTCCCCTGAAACCAGTCTCAGGAAAGCCTAATACAGACAGAGAGATGTGGAACTGAATCCACTTCTCTTTGAATCCTGGTATCTAATTCCTTTCCATCCTGAGTCCTGCTCATTGTGCTGAGTGGAATATACTCTTTTTATTCCACATCTAATCTCTTCATTACTAATCTCTGACCCTCCAATTCCTTGTATTCCCTAATGTCCTCCCTAATTTACCCTGGGCTTGGTGACAGGGGTCACACTCAGCCCCCTTGGCAGGCAAAGAAGACAGACTTCATATTGGTAATCAAAGGCATCACTAATGAGGAAGAAGACAGTTACTGAAGGAATAGGAACTGAGGGAAGCACCCCTCACTGGGGTCACCTTCAGTTCATTGTCCTGGAGGATCACCATGATCATGTCCTCTACTGTCTCCTGTCCACAAGCCCCATCTCCCCACCACACTGAATGTAGGGTGTGCAGTTGGGATCCCTTCCCCCACACTCACTGTAGTCCTTTATTGCAAGTGTGGGCACCTCTTGCCAATCATGCTTATATCCAAGACTAGCACATTGGGTTTCAGCCGGCCCAGACCTGAGTCCTGGGAGAAGAGGCAATAAAAAGGTGAAGGAATGTAGGAGGCAGCATGATGAAGATGAGAGATATGGTGGTTCTATGATTAGGTGAGAGTGTTAGTCCTTAGCACTCACCTGCAGGAGACTCTGTGCCCCAGCTCAAAGCTCCAGTGCAGGGGCAGGTAGGTGGCACAGTGGATAGAGCACCGGCCCTGAAGTCAGGAGGACCTGAGTTCAAATCCGGCTTCAGACCAAACACTTGACACTTACTAGCTGTGTGACCCTAGGCAGGTCACTTAACCCCAATTGCCTAAAAGCAAAAAAAACAAAAACAAAGCTCCAGTGCAGAGATGGCTGTGTGAAAGGAATGGATCTTCCATGCATTCAACCACTTCATATGGTCCTCTGAATCCTGAATGCCTCGGGTCTCCTAAAGGGCCAACAGAGGTTGGGGGTTACGAGGTCTCCTGACTCAAATCTATCCCTAACTCCCCTGTCTTGAGCTCAGATGTCAAGCATTTGTCTTTTTTACCTAGAAATAAAATCATTGTTCTACCCCAATACCTTTTATGCAGTGCTTTTATTTCCTTTCCTAAGTCCCATGTCTCCACTTACGGAGGCTACATTCCCATAGATAAGACTGATGTTCTTGGTAAAGGTGTCCACAAAGTCCACCAGAGCTGGTTGTTGACTGGTTAGTCTAGTCAATACCAGACACAGAGGCCTGGGAAGAGGAAGGCAAAAATGGCATTAATTAATGAGCTATTTGCCCTCTCTACAGTTAACTTTAGAAAGATGTGGAAAGAAAGCTATGGAGAGACATAAGGGCTCTTCCCTATTATAACCGGTTAGAATGAGATTTGAAGCCCTGGTGTCCTCACTTCCCTCTCCCTTCCTCCATTCCCTCATTGTTACTAAATGGTCATGGATTTCTCCTACTGGAGTCTCTCTCCCTGATAATTCCTCACCTTCTTTTATCTCCCTCCCTTTTCCTTCCCCACAGGTTCTCTGCTATTTAGTATCCCTGCCTAATGAAGGAGTATCTCACCAAAAGTTCTCGACATGATCCTGTACATTGGTCAGGCTCACTGAGTAGGTCAGAGCCATATGATAGGCATAGCCAGCCTGGACTGAGGAACCCCAATTCACATCTGTGAATATGGGACAAATGGTCAGAGAGCTGACCAATGTAGAGTGAAGTGGGGGAACTGGAATAGCAAGGTCACTGAGGTGATTGGGTTGGGTGTGGGGCTCGGATGCTGCATCTCTGTAGCCCAGAGGTTGGCAAAACAATGGTCCTAGGCCTAATACTTGCCTATTTTTGTCAAGCCAGGCCGTTGAGGTAAAAATGGTTTTTATATTTTGTAAAATATAAAAACCATTCTTAGCTCAAATGCTGTACAAAATAGGCAGTTGGCTAGATTTGGCTCTTCTACCCTAGTTTGCCCACTCCTGTTTTAGCCTATTCCCACCACACACACACACACACACACACACACACACACACACACACACACACACAATTCAGGGTTTCCTGTAGCGGGAGAAGTCCTCAGCTCTTCTCTCACTTCTTACTTGATGCCCTATCCCTCTGCTACCTTTCCACTCTTCATACCCTTCCTTACCAGGCTTCCTGTGGAAGCTGTAGAGTAGCAG